TAGAGCAAAAAATAAGACTGAAATAAATAACAACTGAAACAACTAAATGACCAATAGCTAACCCTAGGCAGACTAGAACATCTTCTACCCTATGAACACAGTGGGACCGTAGCTGTGGGGCCCACATCAGTGTTCTCTACAAACTTCAAGACCCTTCCCAACCTAAACAATCTCTATTTTTAGTCTTAAACTCAACCCCGAACCCTATTCTAGCTAATTAGTACCTTCCTGAACTCAGATCTGGGCCATGCTAATCCTATTTCCTACATTATTTGGTATCAGAGCTATTGGCCGTACTACACTCAGGTTAGAGTAGAGTCAAAATAAGCTGTAATTTAACCATATCATCATTCATTCACTCTCCATTAAGGAAGAAGAACATCATGGAGAATTATGTCGTCATGAAGAATGCAGTGTCCTAGGAGTCCCCAAATCAGTTCCCAACATTATCTTATCAACATCATTTTTTATTGGCACAGCTTATCAACATCTTTACCTATCCTTCATCCATTGGCTCTGCAGGTGATATGATGCACAATATCGTTCCTTGCCAACTATTATTGCATTTGAAAGGAAAGAATCATAGAATCTTTGAAAGCAAGGAGAATCACTTACATGGCTATGCACCAATCCAGTGGCCTGCTAATGGAATGGTCCTTTGAAATTGAAGACTAAAATACTTATCATACTGATTAGATCATTAAAAGTTTTTGGATGAAAGTGACTTTGAGTTTCTAGCTGAATGTCAGCTCATTCATCAAGGGTTAAATTTGTATGGCTTACAGTCCAATACAAGAGAAACCTAACCCCACGTAGGGGAACCCCTAAAGTTGTTACAGAAATTTGATTGAACTTGGTTGCTTCTATTTGTATGATTTTGTCTACAAACAGCATAGCGTATCACCCAGACTCCCCTGCATATTTATGTAGAATTGAGTTACTCCTGTGCATTGAAATCAGAGATCATGCATCGTAGAAGTAAGATAATTAATCTATCATGATTTCAGGTTTCATGGTGTCAGTGATCAAGAAAATTTTGGGAGAAGATGGTTGCGGATGTGGGAAGATCTGTGGTAGAATGGGTATTGATTCTTCCTGAATTCAGTCACCAAAAAAGGGAGGATTTTGGGAGTGGGTTAGGAGAGATTTTGGGATATCAAATATGTAATGTAGAGCCTGTTATCTAATTTCATAGTAGGCTCTTTTGCTTTTCTTTGCCTTCGGGTGTTGTCTCATCACCCTGATATGTAATTTCTTTTCATTTAATAAAAATTTTGCCATTTACTTATCAAAAAAAAAAAAGAAAATTTAACCTGCCTCTCTAAACAAGTATTGAATCATGGATATTATAAGTGGTCATTTTGGGGGATCTCTTGGAAATAAAACATAATCTCTCATTGTTTAATTATTCTTCACTGATGGTGTATCTGTAAACAACAACTTCCAGTATGTAGGCCCTTAGTTTTTTTTTTTTTTTGATAAGTAAGAAAATAAGTCTCATTAATAGAGAATTAATGCAGTTACAGGCCCTTCTTAGTTATTGATAATGCATCACCAAATGATCCTCTTTCTTGATAAAAGAAAAGGAAAAGGAAAAAAAGTGAAGATAGAGAATCATGTTCTGTCATTCTTTGTTGATGCAATTCAAAATATAGAACAAGAAATGCCTGAAACCGTGGACACTAAAGGCAAAAGAAGACAAGGACATAAATGATAAGGTGAATGGCAAGTAGCAAAAAGAAAACATGATAAGTTGAATGGCTAAACAAATTTATGTGACGCGGATGTGTCTCCACACTATCCATGCCGCCATATATCAGTGTGTTGGTAACACGAATCAACATCTTTGATTTATATTATGTAATTGTTTCTTATCAGTATCTTACTACATAATCTATTCAATCATATTCAGCTATCAGTAGCCACTCTTAACTCAAACTCTTGTCAGACCAAAAATTTACCAGTGCACCAAGCAAAGGCCTCTATCCAAAGAACACTAATAGTTTTTAAAAAAAAAATTAGAATAGAAGCTTTTTGGAATTCATTAATATAGACCACCCATCATTTTGTAAGGCACTAGTATGTGGCATTTAATGAATTACAAAACATTGGTCACAAAAGCAGTTTTATCCACCACTTCATCTTTTTCTTTTTCTTTTTCTTTTTCTTCTTTTTTAAGGGGGGTGAAGGGGAGTGCATTAATGCCTGTTTCAATTTACACTATCTAGCACTGCCTGGAAAAAAGGCACTTGACCTACCAAGATAAATAAAGAGGTGCAGAGAAGAACACTTCTATAATGGCAATGCACAAAGAAAAAATAAGAATTGAATAAGTAAAGATATATTAGAATATCAACCAATAACTGCAATTAAAGTAGAAATTCATTGAATTGAATACATATAAAAGAAGGTATACATCATAATCCTCACCTTGATTTGTCTCAGAAAAAACACACATTGGAACGAAGTCTTTAAACATATTCATGGAATAACTCTTTGGCATATTCGCAGATTCAGTACCAGCCAATTCCATTGTGAACTGATTAAATTCAAGAAACATGTGAAAACATGGAAAATGCAATTCCCAAGGAGAATGGATATTAATAACGAACATAACTTCAGATTTTTAAGTCAATTGGATAAGTAAAGATTTATTACAATATCAACCAAAAATACATAAAGATACCCTTACCATCAGAAGAGCATGCATTTACTGTCAAAAATATTTTAAGCACTTAACTGTGGGAAATTCTTAAATAAAAAGCTCTAAACATCCTATTTGATCAGTTACTGCTATATGAGACATAAATGTACTGATTAGAGGTTACGCCATTTGTAATTTGTAAGAAAAAATTGTTTGGTGAAAAAACAATACTGAAGTGATCATACTTGGACAGTTTGGATCATATGAGAAATAATGTCAATGAGTCATCTGGCAATGTCATTCTTCCAATTTATGTCAGATTACAAGAGAGAAGTTGACCCATTGATTGTATGATTTGGATGGATAAGCATTGCATTTCAAATATTCTATATTCTCTTGTATCTTGAAAATGAAAAGATACAAAATTTAAATGTAAAAAGCAATGTTTTATGTATTTATAAACTAGTAGCAAAATTATAACATAGAAATGCAGGAGCAGACATAAGTAGCATCAGTCAGGTACAATG